CACAAACCAGCCCTAACATTCTCAGCTCTCAATTGAGAGGCCTGACAAGTAGGAAACAGTGAAAGAACTCCAGAAATATGAAAAATCAAAGTGAAAAGGTACCCCCAAAAGAAAACAATAACTTTTTACTAATGGATACCAACCTAAACAAAAAGATTAAAATGGCAGATGAATTTCAAAGATAGATTGTACAGAAGCTCAATGAAATACAAGAGAAAATAGAAACTCAACACAAAGAAGTCACAAAAACAATGTAGGAAATGAATGAAAAATTATCTAAAGAAATTGAATTATTAAAGAAAAAACAAACAGAACTTCTGGAAGTGAAAAATTCATTCAAGCATTTACAAAACACAGTGGAAAGCTTTAAAGCATAGGCTAGATCAGACAGAAAGAATCTCAGAGCTTGAAGATAACATCATTGACCTAAACAAGTCAGTCAAAGAGAAAAACAGAGAAATAAGAAGAAACAAAGCCTACAAGAAATGTGGGATTATGTAAAGAGGCCAAACATAAGAATCATAGGCATCCCTGAGGGTGAAAAAAGGGCTGGAAAATCTATTTGAAGGAATAATCAGGGAAAATTTCCCTGGTGTCGCTAGAAATCTAGATATCCAGATACAAGAAGCTCAAAGCACTCCAGGGAGATTCATCACAAAGAGGCAATCACTATAAAACACAGTCATTAGACTTGCCAAAGTAAACAGGAAAGAGGTATTCCTATGAACAATAAGGTGAAAAAAATCAGGTAACTTAAAAATGAAAACCTATCAAACTAACTGCAGACTTCTCAACTAAGATCTTACAAGCAGAAGTGATAGGGGTCCCATTCTTGGTCTCCTCAAACAGAATAACAGCCAGTCTAGAATTTTATATCCTTCAAAACTAAGTTTCTTATATGAGGGAGAAATATAAAGACCTTCCCAAAGACAGGCAAACACTGAGGGAATTTGTCAAGACCAGACCTGCCCTGCAAGAAGTACTCAGAATTGCATTATACAGTGATCAAAACAATAGACATCCACCAGTGTAAAATCACCCAAAAGATAAAGGTCAGAGCCCACATACCACAATGGTGCAAGAGATAAAACAGAGCAATAAAGTTCTACTCAACAGGATGAAGAGAAATCCACCTCACTTATCAATTCCTTCAATAAATGTGAATGGCTTGACTCCCCACTCAAGAGATATAAGCTGGCAGAATGAATAAAAAATACAAGCCAACTATCTGCTTTCTCTAAGAAACACATCTAATTCACAAAGACTCATTCAGACTGAAGGTGAAGGGATGGACAATATTCCATGCAAATGGAAACCACAAGAAAGCTGGTGTAGCCATTCTCATATCAGATAACATAGATTTCAAATCAACAAAAGCAAAGAAAGACAAAGATAGTCATTATATAATGGTAAAGGGAACCATTCAACAAGAAGACATAACAATTCTAAATTTATATGCCCCTAACACAGGAGCACCCAGATTAATAAATCAAATCTTACTTAATCTAACAAAATTATAAATGGCAACACTATAATAGCAGGGGACTTCAACACTCCACTAACAAAATGTTACAGATCCTCAAAACAGAAAATAAAAAATGGACTTAAAGAGAATTGTAGAACAAATGGGCCTAACAAAAATCTATAGAACATTCTACCCCCAAACCACTGAATATAAATTCTTCTCATCAGCTCATGAAACATTCTCTAAGATTGATAACATCCTATGCCACAAAACATGTCTCAACAAATTTAAAAAATAGAAATTATACCATGTATCTTCTCAGACCACAGTGGAATAAAATTAGAAGTCAACTCCAACAGAAACATTCATTTACACACAGTCATGGAAACTAAACAATCTACTACTGAATTATAGGTCAGTTAAGGAAGAAATTAAGATGGAAATCAAAATATTCTTTGAAATAATTGATAAAGGGGACACAAGTTATCAAAATCTGTGGGACACAGCTAATGCAGTCCTGAGAGAAAAATTCATACCCCTAAAATGACTACATCCAAAAGACAGAAAGATCACAAATCAACAGTCTAATAGATCATTTCAAGGAACTGGAAAAGGAAGAGGAAAACAATTCCAAACCCAGAAGAAGAAAATAAATAACCAAGATGAAAGTAGAGCTAAATGAAATCGATAGCAAAAGAATTATACAGAAGAATAATGAAACAAAAAGTTGATTCTTTGAAAAGATAAACAAAATTGACAGGCCTCTCACTAGATTAACCAGAAGCAGAAAAGAAAGAACTCTAAGAAGCTCAATCAGAAATGAAAAAGGCAAAATCACAACTGTTACCACAGAAATACAAAATATCATCTTGGAATACTATAAAAATCTCAGTGCACATAAACTTGAAAACATGGAGGAAATGGACAAATTCCTAGAAGCACACAATCTCCCTAGGCTCAGTCAGGAAGAAATAGAATTCCTGAACAGACCAATATCAAGTATCAAAATAGAAGCAGTAATAAAAAAAATCTCCCAACAACAACAACAAAAAACATCCCAGACCAGATGGTTTCACACCTAAATTTTACCAGGTCTTCAAAGAAGAACTGATACTCATACTGCAGAAATTATTCTATAACAGCAAGAAGGAATGAATCCTCCCCAATTCATTTTATGAAGCCAATATCACCTTGATACTGAAGCAAGGAAAGGACACAACACAAAAAGAAAATTACAGACCAATATCCATTATGAATATAGATGCAAAAATTCTCCATAAAATCGTAACAAACGTATCAAAAAAAAAAAATCCACCATGACCAAGTGAGCTTCATACCAGAGATGCAAGGATGGCTCAACATATACAAATCTATAAATGTAATTCACTACATAAATAGAAGCAAAAACAAAGACCACATGATCCTCTTAATTGACACAAAAAAAGCATTTAACAAAATCCAGCACTTTTTTACTATAAGAATGCTTAACAAAATAGGCATAGATGGGATTTACCTCAAAATGATAAAAGCCATATACAACAAACCCACAGCCAACATCAATCATACTGAATGGGGAAACATGGAAAGCATTTCCACTTAGAATTTGAACCAGACAATATTGGCCACTATCACCACTTCTATTCAACATAGTGCTGGAAGTCCTAACCAGAGCAATCAGACAAGAGATGGAAATCAAGGGTATCCAATGGGGAAAGAAGAGGTCAAACTATCACTCTTTGGTGATGTTATGATCTTATATCTAGAAAACCCCAAAGATTCTGCCAAGAGACTCCTTCCTGGAATTGATAAATAAATTCAGCAAAGTCTCAGGTTACAAAAGGAACGTATATAAATCAGTAGCATTCCTATACGTCAACAATAGTCAAGCCAGGAATCAAATCAAAGACTCAATACCTTTCAAAATAGCAGCAAAGAGAATAAAATACCTAGGAGTATACTTAACTAAGGAGGTGAAAGACCTCTACAGGCAGAATTACAAAACACTGAGGAAGGAAATTGCAGAGGATGTAAACAGATGGAAAGACATATCATGCTCATGGATTGGCAGAATCAACATTATTAAAATATCTGTATTACCCAAAGTGACCTACAGATTCAGTGCAATCTGCATTAAAATACCAATGTCATTTTTCACAGATCTAGGAAAAATAGTTTTTCACTTCACATGGTACAAGAAAAGACCCTGAAGAGCCACAGCAACCTTAAGCAATAAGAAAAAATGGAGAGGCATCACTTTACCAGACTTTAAGCTTTACTACAAGGCTATAGTAACCAAAATAGCATGGTTTGGGCACAGAAACAGAGACATAGGCCAATGGATCAGAAAAGAGAACCCTAATATAAAATCATTTTCATATGGCCATCTGATTTTTGACAAAGCAGACAAAAACATTCACTGAGGAAAAGAATCCCTATTCCATAAAGGGTGCTGGAAAAATTGGATAGCCACATGCAGAAGACTGAAACAGGATCCACACCTCTCACCACACACAAAAATCACTTCATGATGGATAACAGACTTAAATCTAAGGCATGAAAGTATTAGAATTCTAGAATCAAATGTTGTAAAAACTGCCTAGACAAAGAATTTATGAAGACAACCCCAAAGGCAACCGCGGCAACAACAAAAATTAACATATGGGACTTGATTAAATTAAAAAGCTTCTGTACAGTCAAGGAAACAATCAATAGAGTGAATAGATAACCTACAGAATGGGAGAAAATATTTGCATGCTATGCATCCAATAAAGAGCTAATAACCGGAATCAACAAAGAACTCAGACAAATCAGCAAGAAGAAAAATCAAATGATCCCATCAAAAAGTGGGCAAAAGACATGAACAGAAGCTTTTTAAAAGAAGATAGACTAATGGCCAATAAACTTTTGAAAAAATGGAAAAAACGCACACTATCTTGGTGATGGGCACACATATAACTTTGACTCAAACTGCACAAAAGTAAATCATGCAACCAAAACATTTGTATGCCCATAATACTCTTAAATTTACAAAACAAAAGAGGTAAATGAAACTTCATCAAAACTAAAACCTGTGTTTATTAAAAAACATCATTAATAAAGGGAAAACGGTGGCCACAGGCTAGGAAAAACTCTTTATACTGTACATGTACCTGACTGAGGCTCAAATCCAGAATGCATAAAGAACTCTTTCACATTAACACCCGGTGTCTTGAATATCTGCCCCTAAATCAATAGATTCTGCCTTTTTTTTTTTTTTTTTTTTGAGACAGAGTCTCGCTATGTCATCTAGGCTAGAGTACAGTGGCATCAGCCTAGCTCACAGCAACCTCAAACTCCTGGGCTCAAGTGATACTCCTGCCTCAGCCTCCTGAGTAGCTGGGACTACAGGTGTGCCATGATGCCCAGATAACTTTTCTATTTTTAGTAGAGAATAGGTCTCACTTTTTCTCAGGCTGATCTCAAACTCCTGAGCTCTTGTGATCCTCCCTCCTTGGTCTCCCAGAGTGCTAGGATTACAGGTGTGAGCCACCATGCCTGGGCTTAGGTTCTTCCCTTTTAAAACAAGTTTTCAGGACACAGATTTTGGGAAGCCATGCAAATAAAAGCAGAAGCTGTTTTCCCTTTGGAAATGGCCACCTGCCTGAGGACAGTACCCCTGGACTGCAGAGAGATGTTCCCTCGGCTATTCTGAAGGATAGAGTTTGGGGCCTGAAAATTTCGAACAATTAAAGCCAATTAATAGGTTTGTTTTTCTTTTTATCTGGCAGCCAGAAGAAGAACCAGCAAGACTCAGGAGTTGCCCTGACATTCTTGTGACGTATGACAGTCAGATTCTCCAGAGAGACAGAACCAACAAGATGTATGTATGTTAACCAACAAATGCATGCATGTATACACAGGCATGCATTGCTTAGCAACAGGGATGCATGCTCAGAAACGTGTCCTTAGGTGATCTTGTCCAGTGAACATCATAGAGTGCACTTGCACAAACCTAGATGGGATAGCCTAGTACACACCCAGGCTGTATGGTATGGCCCGTTGCTCCCAGGCTACAAACCTGTACAGCATGTTACCGTGCTGATTACTGTAGGAAATTGTAGCACAATGGTAACTTTTGTGTATCTAAACATAGGAAAAGTATAATAAAAATGTGGCATAAATGATAATCAATTGTACACCTGCATAGAGCACTTACCATAAATGGAGCTTGCAGAACTGGAAATTGCTCTGGAAGGTCAGTGAGTGAATGGTGAATACATGTGAAGGCCTCAGACATTCCTATACAATACTGTAGACTTTATGAACACTGCATATTTAGGCTACACTAAATTTATAAAAAATATTTTACATTTCTTCAATAAGTTAACCTTAGTGCACCATAATTTTTCTAGTGTATAAGCTTTTTAATTTCTTTTATTACCGGGGGTACAAATGTTTAGGTTATGTATGTTGCCTTGCCGCCCTCTCCCCCTATTTAATTATTTTTAACTTTTTGACTCTTTCGTAATAACGCTCAGCTTAAAACACACGTTGTAAAATCATGCAGAACTCTTTCTTTATATCCTTATTCTATAAGTATTTTTCTATTTAAAAACATTTTTTTTTCTACTTTTTGAAGTTTTTTCTTGAAAACTAGGATGTAAATTTGTATGTTAACCTAGGCTTACACGGGGTCAGGATCATCAATATCACTGTCTTCCACCTCCACATTCTGCCCCACTGGCCATGAGGGGCAATAACACGTATGGGGTAGTCATCTCCTATGATAACAATGCGTCCTTCTGGAACAGCTCCTAAAGGATCAGCTTGAGGCTGATGTCACTCTTGAGGAGAGATCACTCTTCAGGAATATGTCCATGATGGTTTGCTTGGTTTGTTTCTTTTTTTCATCTTAGATTTGCTTGTAAGCAAATAATACTCTCCTTTAATGAAGACCTTTTAGTGTCGGGGTCCGTATTTTCAAACTATTTAAGGAGCTTGTTGAGTTCTGCAAAAGCTTCTGCTAAACCCTTGACTGTGAATTTTCTTAGTGGGGTAGAGGGATCTTCTTTTTCTTCTCCTGCACTTTCCCTTTCTCTTGCCTCTTCTTCAGATATGCATTCCTGTTCTGGTTCCAGCAACTTCTCATCAGTGAATTCCTCAGGAACCACCTCTAGGAGCTCCTCAGTGGCATCATCATCCGCATCCCAGTTAAAGTTGCTTGCCATCTCAACCACAGCCTTGGTGAGTAATATGTTGCGCTGCAATGTTATGGTGGCTACGAAGTCACCAGGTGATAGGACTTTTTCAGCTCCATTTTAATCCTATGGCACCACCATTGTATATGTGATTCATCATTGACCAAAACATTGTTATGCAGTGCGTGATTGATTGTGTGTGTCTGTTTGTGTGTGTGTGTATAGGATGAGATTTATTTCAAGGAATTGGCTCATGTGATTATGGAGGCTGGCAAATCCAAAATCTGCAGGGTGGGTTGGCAGCCTGGAGACCAAGGAAGAGCTGATACTGCAATTCAAGTCTGAAGGCCATCTGCCAGCAGAATTCCTTCTTCCTTGGGAGAACTCAGTCTTTTGTTCTATTCATGCCTTTGACTGATTGGATGAGGCCCACCCATATTATGATAGGCTATATTCAAAGCCCACCATTTTTTTTTTCAGCATATTATGGTGGTACAGATGTTTAGGTTATGTATACCGCCCATGCCCTCCCCACCAAGTCAGAACTTCAAGCGTGTCCAACCCTTAGACTGTGCACATTGCTCTCATTCTGTATGTGTATACCCATCCCCTCCTCCCCCCTCCCATCTGCCCGATGCCCGATAAATGTTATTCTTATATGTGCACTTAGGTGTTGATCAGTTAAAACCAATTTGATGGTGAGTACATGTGGTGCTTAATTTTCCATTCTTGAGATACTTCACTGGGTTCCAGCTCTATCTAGGAAAATACAAGAGGTGCTGGATCACCATTGTTTCTTGTAGCTGAGTAGAACTCCATGGTATACATATACCACATTTTATTAATCCACTCATGTATTGATGGGCACTTGGGTTGTTTCCACAGCTTTGCAATTGTGAATTGTGCTGCTATAAACATCCTAGTGCAGATATCTTTTTTATAGACTGTCTTTTGTTCTTTTGGGTAGATACCCAGTAATGGGATTGTTGAATCAAATGGTAGATTTACTTGTATCTCTTTGAGGTATCTCCATATTGCAAAGCCCACCAATTTAAATGTAAAAATCCCACAAAAATCACTCTCACAGAAACATCCAGCATAATGTTTGATCACATATCTAGGCACTGTGGCCCAGCAAAGTTGGCACTTAAAATTAGTCATCACACCAAGTGTGCTGTTGACCTATACCCACCAAAGAGGGACATGATCAGAGACAGAACAATTTTCACAAAGTTTCGCTGCAGGTGTAAGCAACACAGCGGTGACCTTACAAGCTTACAGCAGCTTTGCCAGGCAGCTAATGTCTGAAGTTGAAGCAGATCGCAGCAACTAGGGAAGACGCTTCTCGTCTTGTGAGATGTACACCTACTGCTGGAAGATTGTACAAATTAGGTGGATTGAGGGAAGGGCCAACTGATTTAGGGTCATGCAATCAACACAACCGGATAGCCTAGTGAGGCCAGTTCAAAAGAAAGAATGTTAAATACAGGGAAGACAAAATTCAGCTTAACCTGATAGCCATTGCATTTGCCTAGAAAATGATGTATGAGCGAAGACAGCAGAGTGACAAGAACAACCTGCAGGGGAGAACCTCACACACAGGAATATGTTAAGTGCTATTCTGCCAGAGGTTGCTCAAACCAGATGCTATTGAAGAACAGCAAACATTAATATGATACAAGATTGAAAACGTCAGAGGGACATAAAGATCTGCCTTTCCTGTGGGATTGTAAAAGGTTCTAGCAGAACAAGGAAAAGAAAACAGACTGCAAAGAAAACTCAGGAAGCCCAATGAAGAGGGCACTTTGGGTCCTGAAGCACATTTGGTGATGGCACCTATCTGATGGACACCTAACAATGTTCCCTGCCTGCATTGTATGTATGTAATGCATAGTGAATAAGTGTGATGTTAAGAGTTACTTGCCAAATTCCATTTGGCATTGTATCTCAGAGTATCTGTTAGTTTTTCTGGAAATATAACTACCATAATGGACCTTAAAAACGCACAAATGGTATTCTCTACCTGAAAATTGTTTGGATTAACTTTTGATCTTTTGCCTGGTTAAAGACTTAAAAGTTTTTATGTTAGATCTTGCTTAAACTATATCTTATTTCTTTTCATCATAATGGAAGAAATTTGTGTTATTTTTGATACTTAATTGCTTTGAGGATTTTTTTAACACTGAATTTTGTTTCTTATCTTTTGTACCACATATTTGAAAATTTATGGTTTTAATGCAAATAATCTGAAAGTAACAAAAGTATAAGGCTTGGTAATTGTCATATCACCATAAAAAAGTGATAAACATCCCAGTTTATTCTGGCAAAAATTTTTTTTTTGATGGGCCAAAGACTTGACTGACTAGACACTTTACAAAAGAGGATACAAAATGGCCAATAAGCACCTGAACATGTTCTCAACCCATTATTCATCAAGGAAATGTAAATTAAAACCACAACAAGATGGCCGGGCACAGTGGCTCACGCCTGTAATCCTAACACTCTGAGAGGCTGAGGCAGGAGGATCACTTGAGGTCAGGAGTTCAAGACCAGCCTGAGCAAGAGTGAGACCCTGTCTCTACTAAAAATAAAAAAAAAAAAAATTAGCCAGGTCTGGTGGCACATACCTGTAGTCCCAGCTACTCGGGGGGGTGGGGGTGGGGGAAGGGGGCTGAGGACAGAGAATCACTTGAGCCCAGGAGTTGAGGTTGCTGTGAGCTAGGCTGACACCATGGCACTCTAGCCTGGGCAACAAAGGGAGACTCTGTCTCAAACAAAACAAAACAAAACAACAACAATAACAAAAAAAAACCCACAACAAGATACCATAAACACCCACCTGAAGAGACTGATAATACCAAATGTTGGTAAGCAGGCAGAGCACATGAAACTATCATTTCTGGCATTATTGCAACATGGTACAGTTACATTGGACAGGTGTTTGGGATTTTCTAGTAAAATTAAACATTCCCTTCCCAAATCACCCAGCAATTCTACTTCGAGGTTTCTATCAAAGAGAAGTTCAAATATCCACTAAAATATCCATAAACTTATTTGTGATAGCTAAAAACAAGATACAACCCAAATATCTATTACACATCTATAAAGACATACCCAGATATAATACAGTCACACACCAGAATGTTTCAGCCAACCATGGGCCACATATACAAAGATTACGATGGAGCTAAAATTTCCTATCACCTAAGTATACAGTGTATGTAGTCTACCATAGTGTACAATTATGTCCTAGGCCTTCACACTCACTTAACACTCATTAACTCACCCAGAGCAAGCTCCACATTCATGGTAAGTGCCCTATACAGGTGTATCATTTTTATCTTTTATACTATAGTTTTACCATACCTTTTCTATGTTTAAATGGTAAGATACACAAATACTTACCATTATGTTATAACTGCCTATAGTATTCAGTATAGTAACATGCTGTATAGATTTGAAACCTAGGAGCAATAGGCTATACCATATACCTAGGTGTGTAGTAGGCTATACCATATAGTTTTGTGTAAGTGTACTCTGTGATGTTTACACAACATGAAATCGCTTAATGACACATTTCTCAGAACTTATCTTCACCATTATATGACTCGTGACTATACAGCCATGCAATGAAAAACTACTCAGCACAGAAAAAAAACAAACCGCTGATACATGCAAGCTTGGATGAATATCAAAAATATGCTGGACAAAAGAAACTAGACGCACAAAAAACGCATATCATATGTTTCCATTTTCATGATGTTCAAAAACAGTAAAGCTAATCTGTGATTATAGAAGCTAGAGCGGTGGTTACCTACTGACTGGAGGGGCAGGAGGGAACCCTGCCCTTCTCTGGATCTTGGTGTGGTGCTGGCTGCATGGGGAAATACATAAAAATAAGATTTGCTTTTTACATACAGATTTTACTGTATGTAATCTATATCTCCATTTTCAAAACGGTAGAACAAAATAAAGAAGGAGGGCAGGGAGCTATACTTTTCCCATTTTCTACCATGTGCCAGAGGAAGCTCTTCTGGAGGGAGAGGCTGAGGTTAGCAAACTCCCCCGGTCCAGAGCCACCTTAGAAACACAGCTTGGCCACCTTCCTTCCAGCAGCTGGGAGAGCAGCTTGGTGGCCTGCAAGTGATGACAGGTTCTGGGTAGAAAGTGCTGGAAGGCTGCCCCTCCCTTCACAATGCGACTTGCCTCCTCCGTCTGCCCCTGTAGGTCTCAGACGGCATCAACAGCACTTTAACCACAGCCCAGGGACTCTCCGTGCCTGGCCATAGTGCAGTAACACCAGGTGACCCCTCTGCAGAGAGGTGAGCTTCCTTTGAGACTGACTGTGCCGGTCTCCCCAGGCAGGACTGGGGGCAGGGGCAGTGGGGACTATTCTTATTTTGTGGGCTGCTCTGGGCCAGGCATCAAATCGAGTGCTCTCTCCCTCCTCTGCAAGTGCCCTAACCCCAGTGTGGGTCAGGTGTCTTTCTCGGTGGAGAGCCACTCACACCCCCTAGGCTGCACTCCTGGGCCCATATCTCTCCCTCCCTGCTCTGTCCTCTTTCCCCTCTCCAGCTTTACTTTCTCCCATGCTGACTTTGTCCTCTAGGTTGCTATCTTGCCTCATCTTCCATCCTTGATTTCAGAGTAAGAGACCTTCTCCACCCTCGGGGTCCACACCATTTACCCAAAAAGGCCTGTCACTGTGGCCTGGGGTGTAGGGCTCTGTGGCCAGTTGGGTTATGGGCTCGGGGTGCCTGACAGCCCCACCCCTGCAGTGAGGAAAGGGCAGACTCACAGAGATAGCAAGAGAGGTTACTGGTGTCCATTCCTCACACCCGTTCCACAGAGTGGGCAACCCAGGCAGGGCCCGGGCCTGGATAGTGCAGCCCTAAGTGGCAAAACTGAGGTTCGAGACCGGCTGCCTGTCAGGGGTCTGGCACCTGAACGGAAACCCCAAAAGCCCGTCTGCCTCCCACTTTGACGTAAAGGGGATGAATCCAGTGTGCCCAGCTCGTGGCATTCTTGCTCTCCTAGGACAGAAGCTGTGGAGAAGACAGAGTCCAATCTGGACTCCTCCCTGCTGTGCCTCCCGCTGTAGCGCTGGGGGTGGCCTGGGAGGGATTGTGGGGTGGGCTCCCCTCTGTGACAACAATGATCACTCATCTGGGCGCTTGTTAAAGGCAGGGCTGGATGTGCCCTTTTGGCGGGAGCCTGAGCAGGAAGGATTTCCCTGCTGTGAGGGAAACAGCTGGGAGAGAAGCGGGCAGACACATCACTCAGGCCCTGCCTGTCTTCCCCTCGGGGACAGACGCTATGGGGCAGCAAGGGGAGAGGGAAATGAGAAGCTGTGTTCTCCCTGTGCTTGGTAGCCTGGGGCTGAGATCCAGCCCCTCAGACAACGCCCAGCTGCCCTGGGCTCATGGCAGAAAGTAAGCAGCCTCCTTTTCTTTCATGCCTCGCCCTTGGACACCAGCTTCAGGTGCCAGTCCAGTCTGTTGGGGTCTTTTCCTCCCATCCTGAGTGTCTCCGCTGCATTTGCCCAGGCTGCGGAGGGAGGACGTGCCCCAGGAGGCGTCCCTGGGGAGGCGCACAGGGGAGGGGTCAGTGCCGCCAGCGCCCATGGGAGGGAGGGCATGGGGAAAGCCGGGTCAAAGTGGCGACTCCTGAGCTGGGTTTTGAAAGGTAAATAGGAGTTTTCTGTCTGGACATGATGGGGCTTGGGGTAGAAAGTTCCAGGCAGTGGGATTAGCAACATCCCCAGGGCTAGTCCTGGGACTTGCTGGCTCTTTGCTCCCGTGGGAGATAAAGGTGAGGGCTCCAGGGGAGGGAAGACAGGAGAGGAGGCAGGAGGCGGAACCACACTCAGGCATTTGAGCCCACCTGCACGTGACGACTGCCATTGCCCACCACCTGGATGACTCATAGTTTTCTTCAGATCAACTAAGAAATAAATAAATTTTAATCTACTACCAAAAATGGAATACCACCTTACTTGTCCTAAATAGAAGATAACCATAACAACACAAATATAACTATTAAAATAAAAACATTCCCCCTAATGCCACCTCAAGCCATCTGGTGTGCCACCCACTACATTCTGGGAAACTGCCACGAGGGACAGGGAGCCAAGAAGGGACTTTAGCAAGGGCTTCACACAATCAGATTCGTGCTTTAAAAAGACCAGTCTGACCGGAGGATGTCGAGGGGCTGGAAAGGGGTCAGGCCAGAGGAGTGGACAGTTCACCAGTCGTCTATTTTTACAAACCCTGTACAGACAGCCTTTAGAAAAAAAGCAAATTTTCTTTTGTCGTCCTTGAAACTAAATTCCACCTACAACTAAATCGGGCATCCTTTTCTAGAAGCAGTTTCCTCTTACTAGCGACCTGGGGCAATGGCCATTGGGTGCTAAGCAGCATTTTGTTATGAATGGCCGACCTGATGCCCACCCAGCCTTCATGCTCCTCACTTTGAGGGGTGAATGTAGAATCACTCTTGGAAAGCATTTTCTGCATCCTGCTGGTGTGGAAGTGTTTTCCTTGCAAAAAGTTGTTGAGATGCTTGAAGAAGTGGTAGTGAGTTGGCAAGAGGTCAGGAGAATACAGCAGAGGAGGCAAAACTTCATAGCCCAATTCATTCAACTTTTGAAGCCTTGGTTGTGTGCGTGTGGTTGGGCGTTGTGGAGAAGAATTGGGCCCTTTCTGTTGACCATCGCCGGCTACAGGCATTGCAGTTTTCAGTGCATTTCATCTATTTGCTGAGCATACTTCTCAGATATAATGGTTTCACTGGGATTCAGAAAGCTGTAGTGGATCAGACTGGCAACAGATCACCAAACAGTGACCATGACCTTTTTCTGGTGCAAGGTTGGCTTTGGGAAGTGCTTTTGGAGCTTCTTCTCAGTCCAAGCACTGAACTGGTCGCAGCCAGTTGTTGTATAAAATGCACTTTTCTTCGCACATCATAATCCCATCGAGAAATGGTTCATTGTTATTGCATACAATAAGAGAAGACAACACTTCAAAACGACTATTTTTTTTTAAATTTTCAGTCAGCTCATGAGGCACCCACTTGTCAAGCCTTTTCCCCTTTTCAATTTACTTCAAATGCCA